CTAACACATAGTGGTTGTAATTGTAATTAGAATTGATTGACAATGGCAAAATTAGAAAGTTGAGTTCAGTGGGAAGTAAAATGTAAAAGATTTTAAAAAGTAGAGAGTGCAGTGTCTACAAAATCTTCTTGAAATTGAATTTAAACTTCAAAATAAAAAAAAAAAAAACAAGTATTTAATTACAATTTCCGTTTATATTACATCAAATAATTATAAAAATTTAAAAACTCAAATACATAATTTTTTTTTATTATTCTATTGAAAGAAATAAAATTCAAATTCAAATCATACTATTCATTAGTATTTTTCATTCTAAAATATCAAATCAGTTACTTATTATTTTTATTTTTTATATTTAACAAAAAATTAATTTAACATTCCAAATATCATATCAATAGTTATTTATATTACATCAAATGGTTATCTAAATTAAAATTTTATTATTTAAAACTCAAGTCTAACTATCAAACAAACCCTAAGGGTGTGTTTGGTACAAAGAAATGAAAATTGTCTCATTTATCTTGTTTGGTTTAACAAGAGAATCATTCTCTGGTTTCATTTCTCTGTGATATTTAGAGAAATTCATATAATTGTATATTGATGCAATATTTTTATTTTTATTTTTATTTTTTGTATTATTTAATTTTTATATTTATTAAATTATATTATTTCAATTTTATAAAATATCACATTTAATTTATTATTCAAATATTTAATTTTTTAATATCTTTTTAAAATATTATACTAAAATTTAATCTTACAAAAAAGACATCGTATCTAATTTATTATTTAAATATTTTTTTTTATGAATTCTTACTCATTAAAATTTTTTATTGCCCGATTAATAATTTATTCTTGATCGATTCATCCAAATACCTGCATTTTTTACATTTTTCAATTGAATTTTCATTTTTATCAAACAAAAGAATTAATTCTAATTCTCTATCGTACTCTCATTTATCTGCAATTTTATTCTCTATATCAAACGCCTCATAAAAATATGTGTGCTAGTAATTATAAAATATAGTTAAATTTTTATTTGAATGACTAGTTAATTATTACTTTAAAAGAAAAACTATATTAATTTTTTGGGACAACAAAAAAAAAGAAAAGAAAATAAGACTAATTTCAGGGGAAGTGAGTATTATTTTTTAGTTTATGTGCACATGCATTATGGCATTATTAGCTTAATCGGAAGGAGTATTATATTATAAAATACAATATACACGTATTAATATAATAGATAATATAAGTGGAGGAGGAGTCTGCCTCCGGTCGGTTTCTGTGACCAACTGATCATCGGCGATTCTCCTTGGGAAAGACCATGAGGTGGTTCCGGTGCCAGTACCCAAAAAAATTGAATTGTGAGAACGGAATATCTAAATTATTGAAGACTTTACAAAGAAAAAGAGTAAAGTTGTTACCGGTGGTTCAGGGTCGGTTGGTTGAATTGTTGCAGCCGTTTGTTAGGGCTGTTGTGGAGGCAATGGTGGGCCAAATGTGCAGACGTTTTATGTTATTGCAAAATAAAAACTAACATACAATTATAATTTAAATTTTGGACTTATTGAAGCCACTTCGTATGTGGGGCGGCATCCAATGTGTGTCAACAGGCAGGGAGACTAGGTAATCTTCTACTGTTTGATGGTCTATTGGTGGGGATGGCGTCGGCTTTGGTTGGGCTATCTTCTTCTTTGGCACACTGGGGCCGACCTCGGGGGCAGCTGTCTGTCTTTTCCGACAAGCCGGTGTCGGGGAAGCCAATGCCAGAGCTAAGGCTGGTGTCGGCAGAAGAGTCGGAAGCATTTGGTCGGATGAATGGACCAACAGGGCCCATGAAATCGATCACCATTCACGGAAAGGTTCGACAATTTGGGGTTCGGTTTTGAATGAAAGGTAGGAGTTGGAGATGATGTAGTTGGAGATCTGAGTCAGGTAAGGTTCGATAAGTTCGGGAATCACTCTCCCGTCGGGGCTCTATGTGATCAAATGTAGTTGGGCAAGGGGACCAGGAATACCTTGGCGGTAGCGAATTGGCGCACCAGGAATTGAGGTTGGTGATTATAAGTGTAGAAATATTTGTTCCCTTTCTTGTCCATTCTTTTTTTGGGAAACAAGGATCGAGGTTTCAGGGCTGAGTCCCAGGAGAAAGGGTAAGTCGGATGAGGTAAAGGATCAGGGTATGACCAGAAAAGTTCGGTGGCATATTGTACAAGGCTTTCATAAACGTAAAAGCAGAAGTTGCTTCGGCCATAAAAAATTATTGAATATTAGGGTCAGAATATTTGAGGTTGGATTATTTTGGGGACATGGAAACAAGGGTCAGGCTAAACGAACATTCGGGTCTTGGGTTTATGGGTGGGCAACCATAAGAATCGGTTGGGAAGTATAGGCAAAGCCAAAGCTTAATAAACCAAAAGGGGCCCGAGGCGGCTGTATTTATTTTTTTGGCATTAGAAAGTCGGGCACTAACTCGGGACAGGCCCTAAAAATGGTTAGCAAGAAAAAGCGTCCTGATTGAAAAGAACCAACAAAAAATAATGTGGATGGCTAGGTCCACATGAGAATGAAGAATACATTTGGAGAAGGATAGGATGACGTACCTGTACAATCAGAACAATATGAAAGGGGTGTTTTCTTGGTCGGTTACAAGGGTGTCCGATGCTCCTTGGAAGTCGGTTATGAAATTTGTCCATCATCTGTCTTGTAGGTTGGACACTGACCAACCAGCATGGTCTGAAGTAGGCTCTTGGCCGTCAAGGAAGCCGATCATCGGATCTTCACCCACGATTGGAAAGTGAGAGATCATAGCTATATCCATCAATGTTGAGCTCAGAGAATTTGCAGGTCGAAGGAAGACACAAATTTCTTAGCTCCAGAAAGCTGCCACGCCTAATAGGACTTTGTCATGGAGGTGAAGTGCCTTAGTGGAGAGAAGAATGACCTTATCAATCCCTTGGCGCTTCCATTGTTCCTGGAAGTGGGTAGTAGCCTGGAGTGCCAGGTGCGAAAGCTACCTTTGGGGTCATTGAGATGGTTTTGATAATATCTAGGAGGTGAGTTGGGTTGAAAGCAGCATTTCGGATGGCGAGGGGGGTTCCTTGTTCGAGAATCTTCCGCATTCGGGATGCATCTTCAGTAGTGGTACATTATGGATGAATGGTAGGGGTAAGTATTCTGGATGAAATGAAGGGCGTTTCGGAGTTGGAACTATCGAAGAGCGGGAACGTACTGGTTCACCATAGAAAATAAAGCGCAAGCAAATGAGAAGTGATTCGTGTTGAGGAAGATGAAAGACTGGATTCAGCAAATGACGAAGAGGAAGTGAGTTGTTGTGAAGGAAAATATTTTGGTAAAACTCTGTGATTGGACTCGAAACGGCGTAATGATTACACTGTTGCGTTGAGTTTTAGACTTCCAAACATCCTATCTCATGACGGTCAAGGTATGACGTTCGGAAGTCAGGAGAGGGGGGAAGTTGTTGAGAACAAATTTCTAAAAAATTAGAGCTTTGGCCCAAGATAAGGAAAGAGTGTGGGCCAGTAGTGGACCATGAGTGAATTTTGGTAGGTCCGACTTAATGAACCCAACATACCATCAAACTCGTTTGGTCGGCACATCAGATAAGGGGGCCCATCCGAATTTGAGTACTGAGTCGGGTGGTTATGAAAGAACTTATTGAAACCGTTGGTTGGTCGGTTGTGATTTTGGTTTACTATGTGTCGGCAGAAGGTTTCCTAACACTACAACAAGAAAATATTATTTTTGTAACGAGGTTTTTTCGTTCATAAATCTACTTTTTCCATTACTAATGATATTAGAGACGGAATTAGGGATGAAACTGCGTTAGCTACGTGAACTTTAGAGACAGAATTTCGTTACAAATATACTATTTTTTTGTAGTGATAAAGATAACTGACATTCGTGTGAACAAGGTAACCAAAAATAGTTTAGTACACGACCTTGGGTAACCGACTCAGAGACGATTTTGGACGATTTAAGTGAGACTTTATTTAACTAACTAATGGATGATGAAAAAAGGATCTTCGATCATCACACAAAAAATCTTATTGGAGATCACTTATTTTAAATTTCTCAGTTTTTAGTGTATTTTCTAATTCTTTATATAATTTGTTTTAAAGATCTGATATCTTTGAGATTCTTTTATTTTAATTTCGAAATATATTTTTAATTTTATTTTTTATTGTTAAAAATTCACATAAACAATTACAATATGAGACTTGTATTTACATTCCAACAATAGATGTGTCGTCCCAAGCTGACATCGTGAAAATATTAAGGCTCATTAGTCATTACAGAAGCCTTGGAGGTGGAGGCGCCAACAATGGCGGACATGTTTAAAGATGGGATGCAAGCGATGAGGATGGCCTACTATCCGCCTTGCCCGGAGAAGGTCATCAAACTTACGCTGCACTCTAATGCCGGCCTGCACGATGACGGTCCTCCACCGGGTGAACAGCGTCAAAGGCCTGCAGGTCAAGAAAGAGGGGTTGGGATCCTCCCAGGTGTCTTCGTCGTCAACATAAGAGACAAAGCACACGGTGAGGGTGAATTCAAAGAAAGAGATGATCAACATTACCATGTTCATCAACCCTAAGTTAGAAGCAGGATCAAATTGCAGGTACGTACATTGACAAAAAAGGCCAGCCAGCTCGATCATCATAACACAACTGTGTTCTTTTTTAAAGACATTTTCAATCTATGAATCAATTATCATAATAGATTTATTACATTCACATCACTATTTAGTTTTTCAACTATAAAACCCAAAAAATAATTAAAATTATTTGTTTACCGTTTGTTATTCATTCAGAACCAATTCTTCCTTCCTCCTTTTCTCTCTTCTTCTATTTATCCTCATTTTTGGATATCTTAGACCGTATTTTAGAATAATTTATTGTATTTTATTTATAATAATTATGAATTGTACGTATATTATATATTCAATTTTTGTTTTCATTATTGCTGGCAATCGTTCCTAACAAACAGCAAGTAACCGAGACACATTCAAATCGAAATCGAAGTCATTCACATTATATTCAGCACAATACCAATGTGCCCATTGCCCTGCCAACTCAACTCTATCATTTCTCCTACTATCTCTTCCCTCCTCTATTACAGATTTTCTGTTCATTCATGTACATATTGATCAAAATTAAAGGCATTTATCATTGTACAGCTCTCTCTCTATATAGCAAAAAAAAAAAAAAAAAAAAGAAAATTAAAAACCAAGGATTATAAATATATATAGTAATTAGTCCGAAAAAGTCCAAAAATTAACCCACCAACCAACCAAGAAATCAAGAATTCATGCAAGGCTCATCAATTAGCCTTGGGCTTTGCACAGTGCTTAACCGGCGGCTCCAAGCTGAGAGTCAGATCCAGCTCGATCTCCTCGCCGGCGTCCACGCTCGCTTCCGGCTCGGCGGTCTCGGCGGAGCCCAGGCTCTCGCTCGCCCGGTCCACGGCAGGACCCGCTGCCGGTTCCGACTGGTGGCTCAACGACGAACCGTGACTGGGCGACCGGTTCGCCGCCTCATCTCGACAATGACTATGACTATGACTACTGTCGTCTTCCGCTACACAGACCCGACCCGGTTTGGGCTTGGGTCCAGACCTCTTGAACCTGCCCCGGGACCGGACCCGATGCAGCAGCAAGTTATCCTCCTGCTGCTTGTTGACGTGGCGTATGTCGTAGGCTTTCCCGATCTTGGCCTCGGCGGCGGCGTCGGTGGCCATCGGAGTTATCTCCGCCCCACTCAGCACGGCCTCCACGGCGGCCTGGCAGAGGTCCCAGTTTCTGGACCACATCAGCCCCACAGAACCGTATATCGGATTGACGATCCGCCCGCACGCCTCGTACAGCAAAGACTTGAAGATAGCTGCAAAATTAATCAGGAATGAAAATGGATTCATAATTAAGACCGCGTTTGGCTAGCACGACAGACAGACATTTAGAGAAGCAGAAACAATCAAACAAACAAACAAACAAACAAATAAACCAACCTGGGCGAAGGTGGGGGGGTCCGGCATTGATGAGGTTGGTCAAGCCGGCGCGGCCATAGAACTTGGCGAGGAAGACGGTGGCGTTGGCCTGAGACTCCGCCGATTTGATCCACTCCAAACAAGGCCTTATGCTGCAGTCATCACTGCAGCCTTTCCGCAGCACACGGCACCCACTGCAACTCAACCGCATTATCTCAATAAATAATTATGTTCTTTCTCTCTCTCGAACCAGAAGAAGAAATTCTCACAAACGTTCCAAAATCCAACACAATCTAAAATCAATTGAAATTTGGGAATGGGTTGTGTAGCTGTACGTAAATATATATATATATATATATCAATAATAAAAAAATAATCCGGGGGCTGTTGATTTAGCAGAAAGCAGAAACAAGGGGTGGACACGCAGTTGTTTTTGTTTTCCAAGTAGTGGTATTTGTTAATTGTTATGTTAGCCAGATTCATGGAATTAGGGAGGGGGGGGTAGGTATACTATTAGACTATTAGTACAGTGTATTATTGCATCGTATTGGATTGATTTAATGGTTTTGATATACTGTATTCTCACTCCTTATTAATTAATTAATCTATTCTATTCCATGGTCGCCTTTGTCGTCTTCCTCCCAATGTCAAACCCAGCTGCGTTTTCGTTACAAAACCGGGTCTCAAAATCATCAATACTCCCTCTACCCGCGCGCCATCTCCGCGAGTGGACACACTCGACTCAGAAACCAAAAGCCCAATAACCTGCGCGTGGATGCCACGGAGCTGCTCCCGAGTCGCCGCGTATTGCGGAGCCCGTGAAGGGGGCCTACCTCCACCCTCTCCCGGTTTTCTGGAAAACCGCCTGCCGGGTGGATTGCCAAAACAGGCGGCCAGTGTTACGTGGTTTTGGACAATCCGGTTTGGGACTGTGGGCGCCTCTATCAATATAGTAGTATTATTATTTATAAATTAATTATTTTATACATGTGTATATATATACTTCGTCTACATCGAGAATTTTTTTTTTTTTTTTTCAGGAATACAATTTTTTAAATAACGTTAATCAGTTTATTAATAATACCATATAATATTAATTTATTATTTTTATATAAATAATATTATTGATATTTTAAAAAATTTAAGAATTATATCTAAAAAAAATATATACAATATGATTTTATTTATAGATAATAAAATTTTATATAATATAAATAAATAAAAAATAAAGAGTTTTAAAGATACATAAAAAAAATATATTATGTTAATTGAAAAGAGCAATAGAAATATAGAAGTTTTGAGTAAATTCTATCCGTAAAATTAATTTAATTAAATTGATAAAGTTATCGGAAATTGAAAAAATTCATCTTTTGCAAAAAATAAAAAAAAATAAAATAAAATAGATCATTTGCGACGGAATTGAGAGAGTATATTATATATATGTATGTATGGGCCCGCCAGATGAGAAGGAGCGGCTGTGTTCACGTCATTCGTGCTTATCCCATATGGTTGTTGGATTAGTTTCTTTATTATTGTCTAATTATATTATTATCATTAAATAATCAATTCAATTTGGAACGAGTTATTCAAGCAGGTGTTTATTCCTAAACAAGTTTAGTTGGAGTTGTTAGAGAGAGAGAGAGGGAGAGAGGAGATTAAAAAACTATTATAGGATAGATCTCTTTTCCAATTGTAGTAATGAAATGGTTTGAATCCATAATGATTGATGCATGTTGAATATCATTATTCATTTTTTATTTGTTTACTAGCGTGTGGCATGTGACATCCACAATTTTATATGTTTTTTTTTTTTTTTTATATAAATTAAGTTATTCAAATGACAAGTTGGAGCTGAATATTTTTGTACACAAATTTTTTTGGTCTTAATCTTCAGCGTAATTTTATTTATTTTTTATTGTACTAGTTATTTGTTTATGATAGTTTGCACTTAAACATTTTTTATCTTTTATTATTATTATTATTATTATTATTATTATTTTTATTTTATCCCAACTTCTCATTTCTACAATTGAAATTTGTTTTCGTATAGAATATGCATGGTATTAACCACCTACTTCATGGGCATCGCATCACTCTAATGGAGGCTAAAGAATTCGTTATATACGGATATTCGTATATATGGGATCTTACGAGGTTTGATGAAATTTGTCGAAGAACGGTTAAGGATTCTCTAGGATACTCTAAAAAGTTCATCGGTAATCTTTTGTATTTGCAAAAATGATATTAGCAGGAAATTCGCGATAGAAATGAAAAGAAAAAAGCTTAAAAATAAAATTTTATTGAACTGAAAAAAATAAAAAGTACAAGCGAAATTTAAAGAAAAAATTAAAAAAAAAACCTGATAAACTTGTAGAAAGGTAAATTGTAAGAAATGTAAAATATTAAAAATTAAAGATAAAAATTTGAAAATTTTAGATTGGTTGGGACCTTCTTTTGTTATCATCCGTCTCTTTCTTGTTATAGCTCGATTTGGAATGCTTAAACTCCCTTTCATTAATTTATGATTTATTCATTTCTCAAAGATCACTCATTTGAGCTTCCTCATTAATCAACCATTTTAATCATTAATGGAAGTAATTTCGTATTAACCATTCGTCATTAATCTTCCTTAGGTAACTCCTAAGTTGTTCTTAATTGCCCTTTCTCCATCATATTTTTTCTGCAGTCGTTTCACTCTTCCAAACTTTCGTAAGTCAACGAATTTTTTTCACAATTATCTGGGCTTCTTCTTCCGCCACCCTCAACTGGCTCAAAACCGTGGGCCACCAACTCCCCCACATGTGGGCCTCTTCGGCGGCTGTTGTTCTATCCCCATGTGGACTTTTTCTCGGGCCTTTTCACCATCACAATTTTTCGGGCACAACATATTGCCTCCTCTAAAAATAAGATAAAAATTAATTCCTTAATTCATCCTATTTTTGGATATAATGTGATGCGACATGCTTCCAAAGGTGGGAAAGAAAATATCACCTCACTTCACTCTCAAGTCCTCTCAACTCCTCACACATTCTCTCCCATAACTCGCATTATTCTACCTAAAACAGCTCATTTTAGGGTTCTTGGGAAGTTACTTCATCGTGCCTCTTCTCTCTCTCAACTTCTCCTTGTTCATCTTTCCCAAGATTTCCATGGCATCCAACAAGTCACCACCATCCAGCAGAAACTCTCCATCCCACGGCTTAACACCTCGCTCATCCACTTTTCCGCAGCCCCTTAATAGTAATCTACCAATCCCGGTGATGGTCAATTCGCCATCTACCCTACGGTTTCTTCCTGTAGGCAGCCAATGACTCATTCCTTTGGCGAAGGATGATGTTGACTCCACGGCCTAGAAGGACTTCATTCTTGAGGCAAGTAACCTCCCACTCACCCAACTATGACAAAAAATTGATTCTTTTCCTTCAAGATTTTCGCATATTCCGACCAACTCTACTGGTTTTAGCAAATAGGTAGATAGATTAAAGCCTCAGTTTGGCCGTAGTTGGAGGGATTTGTGAATCCATGACATGATCTCACTGTGTGCTTACCAACTTCCCCGTGACAATGAACTCATAAAGGCTTTGCTTTACTTTTGAGATTTCAAACTAAATGCGTTTATTTTCCCTTTCGAAATTTTGAGCCTCACAATCCTAGATGTCATTGTAATTTTTGGGTTACCTATGAAAGACTTAGAACCCCCACTTATGGTTTTTGAGATGTTCGCCCCTCTTGAATTCCCCAAGCCATACAATAACAAGACCATTTTAAATCAATTCATGACTAAAAACACTTTAATCGTTGATGTTGAGCCTTTTGAAAATAATGCTTTATTTTTTATGGTTCAACAAATATTTTGTATGTTTTTCTTCAAAAGGGGTAGTTAAGAAAATGGAGTTGATTCTGCATACCATAAATTGGCTTCTTACTTCTTAAGATTTCCTTATCGGGCTATAAATGACTTGCTTAGTAAGATGGTGAAGTCCCCTGGTAAGGATCCTCACGTGGTTGGCCTTCTATGGTTTCTGGACTTATGAGCGAGACTTTATATCCATGAGTTCATAAATCCACAAGCCAAGCCAACCTAAGTCTGTCATGTCCCTCTTCATCCTTGGGGAAACTTACTCATCTCTGGCCTGTTGTCTATTGGCAATTGTCATTTCATTGTCCACTCCTTTTTTGCATTCCTTAATAAGACTATATGAGTTCTTCTGCCCTTTATCCGACAACAGTTGTGGTCCCTCCTGGTTCCTCGGGTTGAGGGACGGTAATCTTGCCCAAAGCCTCCGCTCCAGTGTTTGTTGGAATAAATATTTTGCAGCTCGGTCCTTAATAATAGGTTGCTCTTCCACTTTGCGTTATAATTCTTTATGTACAAAGCTTACCAAACCTAATTCCTAGCCCGAAAATTCGGCCTCACCTAAGACATTCCCTCTGCTAGGTATCTTTTTCCACCGCCTATCAAAGTCTACTCCGACATCCCCTCCGCCGACCTACCATGGCGTTCCTATAAGTTGGAAATGGAAGCGTTGGCATACTTTCCCTACCAGCTTCAGCCTATATTCACCCCATCCTTTAAGGACTGGTGGGCGGATATTGGTGATCGACTGCTACTGGAGAGCCCAATTACTTATTTGGCAAAATAAGTTGATGAACACTCAGATGACGAGACTGCCCCTACCTCAGATACTGAGGATGTTATGGTGACCGGCTCCAATCCTGCTACAGGTAATCCTCCTTCCTGATATTTAGTATAATGTTATCGGTGGCATGAACTGTCACTTTCCTTTTGTAGTTACAACCCCTAAGAAGTCAGCTGCAAACTCTGCTTCTACATCATTTGGTCGTTGTTTCTCCAGATGACTTGCCACTCCTGAAGTTACTTCTCATCTTCTTGGTATCAGAGCCACGGGAAAGGTATGGTTTTTGGTTTATAAGTTCATTTCATCTTGTGTGTATTTTTTTGATTAATTTGCTTGCATAAGCATTGACAAGACCTAGTAAACTCGTAAATCTATTGGTCAACCGTGTGATATTAGGTGGTTCCAATGTGGTTTTAGTGTTGCTCCTGATTATACTATCATAATTAAGAAAAACTGGTTGCTAAATTAAAAAGAATGTTGACACGACCCCACTTACACTATACTACTAACGCCAATTCACATATAAGTAAACGATAAACATGCTATAATCCCTCTTAATTACTTACATATATAACAACCTGTTCACCTGCTATATATATATATATATTTTTCAGCAAAACATAACATAACTCAACAGTAGCCTGTCAACATTCACCAAAAGGATCTCAAACCATATCAGAAACTACACAA